CTCCTCCTCCGCCAGAGATTCTCTTGGACAGCTCCAGTCGCGCCAGCTGGCCTTAGGCATCCTCCGGTCATCGCGTCATCCGCCAGCGTGCACCTCGTCCCGTCACGATCGCCGCCCTGTCTACCGATTTTCAGTAGTCCGCGCCCTTCAGCCACCGAATCCCGGCGGGAGCGATGGCGTCATCACCCTCTCGTTGCGCGTCCCATCAAAACCGGGTGGCAGGGCCGGTGTCGTCACCTCGGTAGCGCCGATGGTTGCCGGTACCGTAGGCGGCTCCTCACTGGGCGCATCCACCATGACGTCATCCGGGGCTTGACCACGCGCCCGCGCTTCCCGGCGCTGACGCCGGATGGCCCTCCGCCAGGCACGCTCCTCAGCGCGTACCTCGACGTCCGTGTACGGCGGTTTGCCCGCGTTGAGGCGTCGCACCACGATCGCACTGGCTTCCGTGAAGGCGGCCGAAAAGCAGGACGGCGGCATTCGGCTCAGTTTGGATCCCGAAGTCCTTCCTCTCCCGCGGGAAGACCTCAGACGCTCGTGATGGGTGTGTCGCGGCGTATTCGCGGCGGGTCACGCCTCCACCTTCCATGCACCAACACCTCGCGTCCGAAAACGGCACGCTGATGTCGAGGCTGATGTGTACCTCGCGCCTGTAGTAATTCAGTTCGGCGCCTCGCCAGGCCTGGATTCGACCCCCCTCACGTTCGATCATCGCCGCGATCCGCTGCCGAAAGGCCTGCGTACCCATGCCGGTGTACGGCCGGTGCGGATGGGGGTGCACCTGGAGGGTCCAGGGGCGGTACACGGCCTCCGGATCGTAGTCAGGGTTCCAATCCGGCTTCTCCCCTGGCCCTGGCCGATGGCCTGACGTCAGTTGCGTTGACTCCGTGTGCTCGTACGCCTCGCGCGCCTGCTCCTGCAACTGATAGCGTAAGGCATCCTCTCCATGATCCCGCTGGTGATGCAGCCACTGCGCGTCCTCAGCGCTGAACGGCAGGATGACGGTGAGCCCGAAGCTCCAGTACCCTTCCGGGCAGTCCGCCCTCTCGAGATACCATCTCGAGAGCCAGAGGTCGCCGAAGGCGAGCCACTGGGCGATCAGAAAGCGCCAGCTTTCGACCTCGCGGAATCGCGCTGCTGTCATGGCGGCCGGGAAACTGCCAACGAGCTGCCAGGCAGTGGGACTGGGAGGCGGGGCTCGCTGTGCAGGATGATCAGAATGCAGGGGAGCGCTGCTGTGCGCTTTGGCCGTTTTGGATGTCTTGGACGGTGTTTGGATGTCGGACTGGTCGCTTGACGGCTTGTGGGTGTGTGAGAGGATGTCGTTATCCCATGCTGGGCGTCAAAGTCGGACGGAACCTTGCATGTTGATGCGTAGTCGGTCATGTAGGGTAGTAAGACTGTATATTGGAACTGGTTCCGGAACCGTGATCGCTGAGCGGCTTGACTTTGCACATTTCTGGTTAGATTGTTGCCTGTTGATCGCTCATCATGCTGCCGCTATGTTCAGCTGTAAAATGCTCTTGATGAAGTAGCTAATGTCGGTCGGGTGGTGCTGCTGGAAATGTTGCCTGTAGATGCTGCGGAGATGAAGTTGATGAAGTCATTTGCCTTGTCATTTATGGCCTGGAAATGGCCAACTTCAACAATTCGCAGAAGAGGGAGTCAACGAAATGGACGCGGCCATGTCGTGGTGGTACTGTCCCAGAAACTCAAAGCAGAAGTGCAGTGGGCTAGCCTGTTGATGCGAGCGCCTTGGTTTCAAACCGAGCAACTGGGTAGAGCTGAATCAGACTGCAAGTTGTGTCCACATCACAAGTTTCCATCATACTTCTTCGTTTGCTGGCAATGCAGCGGCTGCAAAAGCAGCTGCAGAATGAATTATCCAGTCTTCACGACATCGATATGTTCGCAACACCGCATAATGACCACAGTTTCACTGGGTGGATCACTTATGCATTATGGTGTGCGACTTGTACATATTTGTACATTACCACTGAGTGTATGGGCACCTTTGACATATGTTTTATGAAGTGGTTTGCATTGTGGTGATGAATGGGCATCTCTGAAGTGCGGTATGGCTGGTTAATGATGGATGGTGGTCCTTGTCACATGAAAAGGAAAGTTCTGTGGGTGCAAGAAGATTCGAAAGGTTCAGTTGCGGGGGTCCTTGCTGCCGTCGGCAAGGCGCTTCGTTGTGGGAAGGGTGAACAAATATATAAGCCCTGGGCGTTGTGTGTGTGGTGCGGCCTTGCATCTGGGCGTGTGCTAACCCGTTGAAGCATCGGCGATCGTGGATTCATGCTTCCTGTGTGCACTCCAAAGGGGGCCGTTTGAATCGCATCAACGGCCATTTCCTTCAAGAGATACTGATCAGCTGAAATGCTATCCAAGCCCTGCGCTGGGCGCGCTGAAAGCTGGCAGCCACAGTCCTCCACAGCGTGAAAAGTCGACCAGCTTCCACGTGTTGAAACAGATCTGCTGCAGCTACCCATTCCAGGATGGATAGCAGCCAGGCCACGCTGGATAGCGAGCCATCAATCAATCAGAAGAAGGCGTATTCATGCGGTGACGAAAATGATATCAGCTAGATGCAGGGAAGTGAGCGTATCAATGGATCGGCTGCACGTACGTTAGTTTGTCGTTTAGGATGCCTAGCTGCCTGAAAAATACCCAGGGGAGCAGCGGAGCCCAACGGATTCGCCCCGTCAGTGCTCATCACTCCGACACTGATACCTCATGCATGAGAGGTGCGCCTCGAGCGCAGGAGCACAGCGTCACACGTTTCTCTTGCGTGAATCTGCCAGGGCGCACAGGAGCCACATGCCGGGCCTCATCGGTGGCATGGGGGGAACTTGGCGCATGCTGGCCTGGCAGATTTCTTGCCATGGCAACGAATGGGTTCGGTAGAATTGAGGTCTGGCGCCCGGGGCTTCGTGGTGCCAACCCGCTTGGGGCAATGCTGCTGCATGTTGCCAGTGCGACGCGCTGTACAGGGGCCGCAAAGAACTTGACACCCAAAGGCAGGGCAAATCACGCCACCGGATGTTGCACACTGTGGAGGATTCGTGGAAATGGGCAGAGAGTTCCCATGCAAACTGTCCGTGAGTTGAAGGAAACGCTGCAAGGCCTGCTCCCCATATCTGTCTGCCAAATAGACGCCGTGTGCTGTGTTGGCCGTCGAGAAGAACTGTCACCTTCGCTGTGTTCACCGACGTGGGAGCCGCAGAACGTCAGGGTAGGGCAAAGGTACCAAGGAAGACAGGTGAGAGCGTGCGCGGGCAGGGTGGCCACGCAGCAATACACGGGGGTGGTTTGGCGTCTTGAGAGGTGACAACAGCATTCGCTCATGATCGTCTGTGGACACACGTCTTCGTTTTAGTAGTTCCAGGCAACACCAATTTTCAAGCAAATCATCAAAAATCTTCAATATGCCTCTATGGAAACGAACGACAACATGAATGCACGGCGGTGAATGCTTTCTAATTCATCAGCTGGCCGTCTCGTGACATTAGGATGCCATCGCTCGCTTTCCTTCATCGTGCTTGAGCGTGCGAGTGTGACATGCTGTGGTGGTGTGGCCATGCCAATAGTACTGCCATGGCGCCATTGGCCAGCTGCAAGACCTCCCACCTGAACAAGAGAACACATAACAGCAATGCAACACGCCAGGCAGCGAATCCTGTGCAAGATGGCCAACCCCGTGCTGGTGTACGACAAACTCGCGGGGCAATGCCCTGAGGGCATCCATTCAATGCCTACACCAACGAACCTGGAGATGGCTTTGTTGCACGTGAAGGTGGTTCCTAGAGGTGCCAGGCCTTCCTCTGCCACTGTGGCCTTATCATGACGTGGCTGTCAGGGGTTCACTGGCCGTTCTCTGTGCGTTCTGAAGTTGGACAATGCCTGCACAGGCATCCAATACCCATCCGAACTGAAGTAATTGAGCCCATAGTTCAGTACATTCCATGTCGAGCAATCTATTGTCAAGTCATGCGTAGCATCATCGACACATCAGTTTTTCAACAGAACAAGTTGTGTGTGCGCCACGTCCAGGCTCCCAGCTCTTGTCAGCCAAAGGATGCTCATCGTCGCACTGAGAGTGCAAAAGCAGCTATTTACTACTCTTGACGGACACAATCGAAAGGTTGACAACAACAGACTGGTAAGGGCATCTGTAGACGTGTGCAGCACGAATCTGTGGCATCATATAGCTTCTCAGTCGATGCAAACCCCACTGAAACACACAAGGCGTACTGCTTGCTGGACTCTGACAAAAACTATCTCAGAGACTTGCCAAGCACAGTGCCTCCAGCACTGTTATCTTGTAGGTTCGATTGTCATCCATCACACACCGATGAGAGAATGCCCACATAGCTGATACGTTCACATTTTCAGCCATGGTGCGTCCACATCCTGTTCCTCCTGGCATTGAAATCTTCTGTTTCTCTTTGCCCATGCCAGAGGAAACAGTAGAGAAAAAACAGTTTGCTGGCTGGCACAAAATCAAGGGGATGATTCTAAAAGTCAAGCAGCTGCCAAAAACAAAATTTCCCCTCAACAGCCCAGCCTTGAGGCCTGTCAAGATCATTCAGCTCTTTCAAGCTCTTTTCCCCTTCTCAACAAGTGCACACTGGCGTTGGGATCGCCCAAGTATCTCAATAATAGATCCCAATGTGACAGGCAGAATAAATAACGAAGCTACAGCTGCATTCTGCCATTGACTACTGGTTGCTGCCGACACAAGCTACCCTGCATTACGTTCAGCATCCTGTCCAATATCCCAACCCGCACATCTTACCCAATAAAGCCAGGAATCCTGCCAAGACAATCCCAAACGTCCAACCCAACCTGCAACAACCTGCTGCACATTGCCAGTGTGGATGCCAACTCCAACGAGGGCATTGCACAGCAGTTGAATTTAGGCAAGGTTCCCCCAAGTCCTCAAGATCTCTGTCACAATCCACAATCCAAGCAATGCACTGTCCCCTGTGGTCCTCTCAGAGTGCACCCAAATCGGCAAAAGGATCCTTCTTTGTGGTTGACACTGGTCGTGCTGCGCCTGGCCGCATTGGTGCCCCGCTGTCCACAAGAGCATTTGTGAAGCCGCTCTTCACTGCTGGTGCCGCTGGAGCAAGCATGGGCACCGCTCCTATCGTCATTGATGGCATGCCAGTGCTGGTCTGCTTCAATTGCATTGGACCTGCTCCCAGGCCAGGCTGCACCAAACCCTGGTAGCCTCCAGTGGGCGCAGGTCCCTGTGACATGCCCATGCCCATTCCCGCATTCAGTATGGGCATTGTTGCCCCACCAGCAGCGCTTGCTGGCTGCTGAAAACCGGCCATGCCCGGTGTTACTCCCATTGCTGCCATCCCCCCCTTTGCTACACTCCCGCCAGGCTGCATTCCTCCCGTCATGGCCTGCGGCATCCCCAAAGGCACAGCTGGGGCGTCAAGAAACATATCCGCGGGTAGGGCGGCCTTTGGGGCGCCCCCGGCCCCGCCCACGCCCTTGCCAAATGCCGCAGTCTGCGCAGCCGGCGCCGCACCCCCCAGGGCAGCAAATGGGTCCGCAGGCGCCTTGGGCGGGGCGGAGGCGAAGTCCGCAAAGTCGTCCACGGGCTGGGGGGCCGCCGCGGGCTGAACCGCCGGTGCTGACATCGCCAAGAATGGGTCCTGCCCGCCAGCAGCCCCGCCATTGTTGCCAAAGGCATCCCAGGCCTCCTGCCCTCCCCCGCCCTGCTGTGGCACCGGGCCAGCCAGCAAGTCCACCCCGCTCGCGGGCGCCCCTACGTGCAATCCCGCCAGCTGATCCATCGCGCTGGCGCCCCCGTTCGTCGAGCCGGCCGCTGGGGCGCCCCCCAGCAGGTCGCCCAGATCCCTGGGCTTGGCCGCGCCCCCCGCGGGCCCGCCCTTCAGGAACGCCTTGGCGATGTCTGGGTTCACCTTCACGTCCGACAGGGTCTTGGGGCCCTTGCGCTTCTCCGGCTCCGATGTCGCCGGCTGGGCCGCGGAGGGAGGCACCCTTGGCCGGCCCTCGGCCTCCTCCCCGATCCCCCCGTTGGCCTTCAGCCTGTCGATCCGCTTCTTCGTCGCCTCGAAGGGGTCCTCGTCGTCATCCTCCGCCGCGGCGGAGGCCTTCCCGCCGGAGGATGGCGCGGAGGCCCTGAATCCCGCATCGGAATCGTAGGTCGAGCCGAAGCCGCCGGCCCCGCCGAAGCCTCCCGTTCCAAACTTCGACGGGCCGAAGCCGCCAAACCTGGTCGCCTCCTCCCGCCCCACGCCCCCGTACTTGGACTTGTTCTTCTGCGCCTTCTCGCGCTCCTCCAGTATGCGCTGCTGGTCGGCCGTGAGCGACGCCAGCTCCTTGGCCCGGTTGCGCACGTTGAGGCCGCAGTCCTTGCCGGCCTTGTCCACGAACTTGTAGTCCTTGAGCTGGTCCAGGAACGACATGTTGCCCTGCAGCTCGTGCACCTCATCTGTGCGATCTCGGACATCAGCGACCCGTGCGGCCCCCACGGCTCCGAGTTGGTCGCCTCCTCCACCTTCATCTCCGTGTCCGTCAGGTTCAGCGCCATCTGTTTCACCTTGTTGCTGATCGACTTGAGCTGGCTCGCCCACCCCTCCATCTCGCCCCGCCTCGCTCGCGGCCAACCGCCGCGAATGCGTAGTCCCTGTGCTTGTCCCCAATTCGGGCCCCCGGTTTGCGGGCGCCCCTCACCTCGACTGGGCGCGCAGCGCCCCGCGGACACGGGTGTATTCGATGGAGTGGTACGCGGCGCGGTCGGCTTGTGGCTGACCGGCTGCCAGCAAGCGAGGCGGCCGCCACGCCGTCGCCGCTCGGAGGTTAAAGGCGGACTGCAACTGTGCCTCGCGGTGCTGCGCCGGATGTGCCTGCTGCAGGCGTTCAACCAGAAGAGTGGGCGAAAGCGACTTGCTGCGGACCCGCGGCTGCTCTCGCTTCCTGCGAGGACCACTGGCCGAGAGGGGGGGGGGGGAAGTACTGGGAGGGGCTAACAGCGAGGTCTTTTTTTTTCGCTGATACCCCGCCGACGGGGATACACATTTCATCATCATGAATGTTTACAAATCAAGGCCGGGGGGGTAGAGGCAGCTTGCTACTTTGCCCAAACAAAGCAGTGTCGATACTTTGCTCGTCAAAATCTGATGTATAGTTGTAACTGCCACTGACTGAGTTTTATTAAGAGCTGGACACATAAAGAGGTGATGAGGCATTAGGAATTGCAACAATAAGGACGTTGGTGAACGGAATGGACATAAGGGACAGAACTCCTGCTCTACTGTCAACCGTTGCCGTGTACTTGAGCCTACGGTCCCCTGTCAGGGGTCACCACCCCACGACCCTGCTTGCCTTCGCCAGCATAACATAAACAAGGTCCAGAAAGGCGAATATTCTTTTGGCGACAGTGGACTGTTCTTTCTTGCGACAGTGCCAAAATACTCTTTGTTGCGACAGTGAGTATGACTAATGCACGGCTTGGGAAGGCGGCAAGGGCCTTTGAACCGACTCGCCTACGCGCCACCCGCCACCCGCCACCTGCCACCGGCCGCTACCAGCCACCGGCGTTGTTGTTCGCAGCCCGAGGGATCGCTGTTCCGCTTCCTCGAACTTCACGGACCAACGCTGCGCTTGTCGGGGCCCGGGTGACGCACAGGGCCGGGGGGCGCCAATTGCGCACTAAGCTGCGCCAAGTGCTGAAAATGCCGCCAGTGGCAGCTCGCCACAGGTCGTGGCTCACAGGGCGTGCCCGCACCCGACAGCAAAACTTGTTGTGTGGCCAGTCAACGGCGCTGGGCGTGGGCGCCTTGATGGTCGATGCTTGGACGGCAATGGCGCCAGCAACCAGCGCCTTGGCCTTCCCGTCTGGCGTCACGAGCAACACACCCCGGTCCTAGCTGGCGGCGCTGTCTCCCCGAGTGACCACTTCCGCGCATTTAAGCGGGCTAGCACTGCAAAAATAGACCTTGGGCTCCAACCTCAGCCAATTCGGCTGAATCTCAGTGCCAAAGTTAGCGGCGAATGCCAGCGGCAGCAGCCCTTCCACAAGGTGGGAACCCTGGGCGTCCTTAATCGCTCCCGTTTCGCCTTTCGGTCCCGTGTTTCTCCGAGTCCTGTGGATCGCGCTGGGTTGGTATGGCAAATCTGACGCCAACGTCTCTCGCATCAATTATTGCCACTGTCGCAAAATAGAACATGTCGCAAAAAATCAATTTCACTGTGGCAGAAGAAAACAGTGACCGTTCAGAAATCCATCAATTCCAGAATTTCTAGAAGTGCTTGTCGATGATTTCCTCTTTCATTGCCATATGGGGGAGCATGCAATGGCAAATGTCGAATGTCTCCCTGCTTTGTGGACACTTGACACAGCCCTTGGTGTGAGGCCGGCAGTGGGTTGTTGGAAGCGCCAGCTGGTGTGCCGGAGCTCCAGGCGTCGCTCTCTCCACCCGGACGGCGCGGTGCACCGGTCAATGATTTCTCAGTTCTTCGTCCTATCTCCTCGAGGGGACGTCATCCTGCGCCGCGACTACCTGGGAAACGTCCCGCAGGTGTGTCCAGCACCCTTTGCAGTCGCGGCCGGTCCTCCGGACCCTCAAGTCCCAGGCTGCGCAGCCACGTTTGCCTGGCGGTCACCCATCCCTGGCGGCGCTTGCAGCAAGGACGGGATCTCAGAGGCCGCCGGGATTGACTGTTTGCATAGCCTTGTTCATTTTCGATCTGCTGCCGAGGGGGCACTGGGGAGGCCCTCGCGCTGCCCGTCTGCCTTGGGGTTCTGTGCCACTTTCAAACCGTGCCGGGGCAACGTGGGCTGTGTCTCAACGTACTTGCTTTCTCTGTGAGCTGAAGGGCGGTGCTTGCTGCAGGCCAGCGCGGAGATCTTCTACCGCAAGCTGCGCTTCTGGAAGGACGATGACCAGGCGCCGCCCGTGTTCCTTGTGGATGGCGTCACGTACATCCACTCCAAGGTACGCATCTGACGGTTGGCCCGCGCTCCAGTTCTATCCACGGTCCATGGGTCATGAGCTTCATGGTGGACTGGGCATCTGTCGTCGGTGTCCCACACCAGCCACGGCGTGTGCGAATCCTTTGATATATTTTCAGAGCAGTAGCAGAAAGTTTGGCCCTTGGTGCAAGGCCATGTCGGGCATATGGCTGCACACAAAATATGCAGAGCCGGATCTCCATGGACACCCAAGTCGCAGCACGGATTTCATCTTCCTTTTCTTTCGTTCTTTTGGCCACCATGTGTATGAGTGATACAAGCATGGATTGTGAACGGATAGAATGAACGGATGAGGGACGAAAAGGGCTCTTTTGGACGTACACATGCCTGTCATCGGCTGCAAGGTGCAGGGCCTTGCAAGGCACGTGCAGACGACTGAATTGACCAAAATCCCAACTTTATCCCTTGCAGAACCTCTGGAAGCCATTTCCTGCCTGAATGTCAAATTGCACGGAACATTACAGGTAGTGAAACTAGGGATATGTTCAGAAGTTTGTGCTGATGTGCGCACTTATCAGTGGTGGTTGCAGCACGATGAACCCCAATGATCCTGATGTCTTGTTGTTGTTCATATACCCTGTACATTGTGCCACGCATCACAGGACTGGCCAGACATCAATTGAAGCATGAATGTAGCCTTGACATTGAAATTCAACAGGTTCGGCATGTCCAACCTTGTGTCCCAAATTGCGCAATCAATATGCATTCTTGAGTGAGAGATAGCTGTCTGTATACGTGTGGCCGTTGTGAGTGGGTCGCTCAGAGTGATGCTCGTTGTTTGACTCCATGGTCACCAACTTGCATTTACTGACAAGCAACATTTGTGCAAATTGTCGGCAATCGAGATGTTGCTTACCTTGGAGATGCAAGGGACATTCCACTGTTCATCTCTGCCTTTACCCCCTTACTCACTGCCAACCCACTGCATTAGCCAAGTCCACCCCTTGCTTAGAGAGCTCTGAAAGAAAAAAGGCTGTACTTTAGAATTTACCAGCAGGATCTCTATTTGAAAAAAGAACATATTGCATCTTCTCTTGCCTTTTGCTGACATCCCTGTCTTTTGGACTGCTTGGTTTGGGTCAAGGGTATGCCAACTATTGATAGGCAGATGCATGGTGAATTTGGACTTCATTTGCAGATACCTTATCTGCATTCGTCTCAGTTGGCAATTTTGTACACGTCCAATAGCCAATGGAGAAGTCTAAGAAGAGGCAGCCATTTGCTATGCCAGTGATCTGTCCAAAACTGGAGCATGATGATATAGGCTGTTGAATTCTGAGGTTTTGTTGCACCCAGATTTGGGAATGCATTGTTTAGTTTTACCCTGCTGGGAGTTGCAGTGTTGCTGTTGGAGTGGAATACACCTCGAATCTGGTCTGTAAGGATGCTGCCCTCTGTGAATGTACATGTACATGAACAGAGGCACACAAAAATGTGTGAAATACAACACCGGTGAACCTGCAATGAGCCCCAGACTGTGGTTGCACAAGGCCAGTGTTGAAATGGCATCAACAAATCTCTGACACTGCCCCCCTTCAGGGTGCTATTGAGCTGGGGCAAGAGTCCAACCAATACGCTCCAAACACAGAACTGAATGCATGAGTACCGATAATGATTGCCCACGCTGTTTGGTAAAACAAAAGCGCTTGGAACAACATTTGCAGATTTCGACAGTTCACTATGTGGCCCAACCTTGTGCAAGGGCTTGCCTTGCTTTGCGAATTGTAATGCAACCAGTTTGACCCTGTGCCAAATGGTATTGAATCTGACATCACACCAGCTTCTGTGCTGAACGGCACTGATTCCAGTACAAGATAGTGATGAACCTACCAAATGGTATCGAAGCGGTGCCTTCCATTGAACCTTAAGCTCGAGAACATCAAGGGGAATCAATGCACGTCCGCACTGCACATAGGCATAGTCAAGTAGCCGATCCTACAGTCCTTGCGGCTTGCAACTCCCTAGTTTCTGTTGGATTTCTTTTTGTGACTACATGCTGTGCATGTCAGATAGGAGGCTGGCGTTGTGTTGGTTGTGACAACGAGAGAGAACCTCCCACCCACACTTGTGGTGGAGCTGCTGAAGAGGATCGCCACACTTATAAAGGTGCCTGTCCAAAACTTCTTCTGGACTCCCTACCCCCGATGATGCTTGTGCGATTTCCCAGAATTTGTGATGAACACAGTGCTCAGTGTGGACACGTTAGCCAGCCACCTTCTGCCAATACCGCGGTGTTTGCCACATCATGGTTATTTGCACGTTGATCACAGCTCCAATGGTGAGATGTGTGCAGACCCATGGTGATTGGTCCAGGTTACTCATTGTGAGTACACCAACTTTATTGTTGTATGGCATGCTGTTGGTCGTGGAGATTTGGTTGATATAAAGTATTCACAGTGTCCACGGGATTGCCACTGGTTTGCCAAATTG